AATAGGAGGATTTATGTTATGCGACGTCTCCGAGTGCCCTTTTCATACTGATATGCCACCCTCCCTGGTGATTTATAGCATAGTCCAAGGACCCCCCTCCCCCCCAGTGGCCTTCTGAGAACGCAGCTTTTCAGTGCCACGGGCGGACATGAGTCACCAGAGCTCTTCTGGAGACGCCGGATTCCTGTAGTCGGTCCAACATTGTGGATTTCAACTTGATACCTGCACGGTGAGCGTTCTCAGACGCCTGCGCGTTCAGTTTTTTTGCCAAATAGTTGGACATTTTTTTCCCATTGACTTGCGACTGTTTTTCTGCCTGTTTTTGAGTTTTGACTTTTTATTTTCTCTCTCTCTCTCTCTCTCTCTCTCTCTCTCTCTCACACACACACACACACACACACAAACACACAAGTTTGTAATTATATCTTTGTGAGGACTCTCCATTCATTTCTATGGGGAAAACTGTAATCCCAACCTAACGACCTTATCCCCCACCCAGCCCTAACCTTAACCATAAGTAACCAAACAAATGAGACTTTTGACATTTTTAGTTTTTTAATTGCATTCACAGATCTTTGTGGGGACCTGAAAAATGGTCAAAATAACAGGTTTTTATTACATTACGGGGAACATTTGGTTCCCACAATGTAATATAAAGATAATACACACACACATACAGGTTTGTAATCATATCTTTGTGGGGACTCTCTATTCATTTCTATGGGGAAAACTCTAATCCCAATATGACAACCTTAACCCCTACCCAGCCCTAAACATAATCCACACACACACACACACAGACACACACACACGCACACAAAGACACACAGACACACACACACACACACACACTAAATGATCCAAGGCTGGTCAGTTTCATCAAGCCACAGAGAGCTTGGAGACTGATGGATTACATGCAATATTTGATCATCATCTATGACATTAAGCCTGAAGTCCAGTTCCCCTTAAGAAGGTCTGTGATTCAGGCCAAACTATGTCCGGTGGTCTGTTCCGAAAAGCAGGCCTCCAAGATTACTCCCAGCGGGAGCACGGGCCGGTGTACAGAGTCCTACGGTTCTAATTTACAACCCGTGTAGAATAGCTATTCTTTGTTTTACCATCGAAAATAATGTTCTCTTTATAGCCTGCCAAAAGGCGATGGCGTATTGATTGCCACACCAGGAAACTCATTTAAAGGGAACAAGTGCTTGAGAGGACAGAGTAGATGGGTCATATATTTGGTGCAATTTTCAGGACTGATTAAAATCTGGGCGAAAACTGAGGAGAAAATGGAGCCGATTATCTTCCCGGCAAAGACAAAAAGAAGGTTCTCTCTCTCAGACAGCCGTGGACGGAGACTCGGGGCAGAGCGAGAGCTTCCCTACATGGCGTGGGGTGTCCATCCCTCTGCCTTCTCTGGGATGGCAGGCACATGTGCGGGGGGTGAGACGAGGCCAGAGAGGCTGACCCTGAAGGGCCATCAGAAAACTGCTTTTGATTTATCAGACGACAGAACTGTTTGCTGCTTGTTGGGTCGATTTCACTCCCCCACACTCTTACCATGCCATATATTATTAGCATCGTAAACAAACTTTCCAGCCATGTAGTTCTTTTTGAGCAGGCACCTAATGAAAGGTACTTCTGTGAGTGTCATCCAATTGGTCCTCCATCAGACACCACGCATGCACAGCCCGCTGATGATGCTTCCTCTTAATGGGTTTATTTGTTGCAATTGGAACACGTCCATTGGAGCCCAAGAGTGAAATTTTGGCTGGTTTATTTTAAATGCAGGATGGATGTAATCTGGCAGTGATTTAGAGATCTTTTTCGGACAAATGTTTGAGGAGAAGCCTTCAGTCGTGTGTTCTGAAGAGAGAAAGCCATGAATGTGATGTAACTCCGGGGATGTCATCACATGGAGCGTTAGCATGAATCTCCGGTACCTTGATATCCAATAACGCAGGGTGTTGGGTTTGGACCTATATTTTTTTAATTGCATATGCATGTTTACATCATGGGTCATGGTGGTGCCAAGCGGACCTTTTTTGGGAACCGTGCTGCTGGCGTCTCTGCACATCAGAGCCGGGTCTGCTCCGCGTTTTCCTTCAAATGGCCTCCGTCACTATGGGTCTGAACCATTGAACAGGAACAAGCTATTGTGGCTAATGGCCCTGGGAGCAAGAAATTTCCACAACCTTAGCTGAAGTCAAGCAACTAGGATGAATGGGCTTTGCGTAAGGGACCATTTTCCCTTTGATTGTGAGAAACAAGGTTCCGCCTGGTATAGGGATACATGAGGCCACAGCATCTCCTGCCTGCCACCGGGGGCTCCACATTCAGAGGGCCAGAGCCAGGTGTGGATGCAGCTTCAGCCCCTCGGACCTTGACACTGAACAGGCTCATGAGTGTGAAAAAAGGAATATTTATAGATACTTTATTGTCCCCGTGGGGAAATAGTTTTTACGCCTCCTTCAGCTTGCTCTTTGTAGAATGAAGAGTATGCTGACCCTGTGAAGTCTGCCTCTCATTGTGAGGCAGTGGCCCTGATCACTGAATCCAATTATAGTATCTTCAGATTGAGGTGTGATCTTTATATTAATTGCTACCATGGCTGATGGCCCAGGGGTGCAATAGATGATGATGTCCTGCTCCATGTGACAGGCCATGAGGAATGAGGATACTAAGAGATCTGCATTCTGATTGGCTGTTTCTCACAGTGCTGCGGGTACAGCTCTTTTTATTAGTTGGATTATGATGTGGAGACGTCTCTAGAAAGCTGGGAGGGGGAATCTGGAATCTCAGCAATAGCACAGAGATATTAAAGCAGTAAATGTTTAAATTCTGTTGTGTCATTGAGGTAGTGGGGAGAGATGAGAGCTACACTTTGGAAATATGACTAAATGGATGTATAAGGTTTCCGCCCCTTTATTTACTCTGCACATCACCCATAATCACATCATACTGTATTGTTCACATCATCAGGTGCCTGTTATTATTAGTTATCAATATTTCTTGGATTTATATGCGAGGCAACCAGAGACCATGCAAATTATACGGTGCTTGTGCATGACTGCTGGGAATGACGACAGGACATCTGAGCTGTGTCTTCCAGGAAGAGGGGGGTGCTGAGGTCTCTGCCCTCCCCCCATCACTCTCGCTGCCCAAACACATCCTCCAGTAAGGCAGAGTAGTTGATGCTCTTTACTAGTGGGGCCACAGTTTGGCTGTCCCAGACATTAGCCTGAAAACCACAAGCGAGTGGTTAGTGGGCGGATAAGAGCAGACTGGAGCTAACTCCACTTACAGCAGGATGTAAAGTACCCCCCCCCCATAGATATATAAAGAGATCTTTTTTCAGAAATGCTGTACAGTATTTGTGATTTGCAAAATTTCACAGCAAAGCAGATCCATAGGAACAAACTCATTAATGTGGAGGAGCATAACAGGACGTTCTGGGTCCCGTGACCAAATCTCACACACCGTGGACGGAGACTCGGTAAACTTTGCTGATCTGGCTGGGGACCCCTTCAGTAAATTTTGCTGACAAGGACCCCAAACTAATATTCTGGGGGCCTTATTATATAGCCTGCTGGGTCCCCTAAATTTGCTAGGATGTCTATGTCCCTGCGAGGCCCCTAATTACGTAAACAACATCACATGGCGTGCCAAGTGGCAATACCCTCTGGCAACAGAACAGAAGCTCCCTCTGCTGGTCATGCCTGGAAGCTTCCCTGCATTGTGTGTGTCCACCACACATGTTTTTGGTTAGGCTGTTATGTAGCATGGTAATTTATAGCCCCATAATGCAATGAATACATCTGAACAAAAAAAAAAAAACTATTGAATGCCTTCCCGAGGGCTGACTTTACAAACGCTGTGTGTCAGAACACGAAGTCGCTCAGACGTCTGTTTTCCGGGAGGAATCTCCCATGCCTTGCCCGTTCCCGGAGGCCACACAGGGGATCCCTGCGGGTGTTCCCTCACCTTCATGCTGTCATCAGCCAGGGCTGGGGGGGCAGGGTTCTCTCTCCAGTTGAGCCCCGATACAAAAGCATGGTAGTCTATCTCTCCCGTCTCCATCTCGTACCTGAGGATGAGACCAGCTTAGGGCCTGAGACAGGTACCCGCCAAAACAACAGTACGCCCTGAGACAGGTACCCGCCAAAACAACAGTACGCCCTGAGACAGGTACCCGCCAAAACCACAGTA